CTATAATATCATAACATCATCCAACCACTGTTTAAATCTCTAATTGTCTCATAAATAACTTTGTCAGTTTTTGTTCTGAACATCATCCACATAAGGTCCCTGTGACTGAGGGGGTATTGGGACCCTTTTGATCCAGAGCAGTGGTTGGCAAACTTTCATTGAGAAAACTAGACATTAAGCATTTTAGGCTTTGGGGGTCATGCAGTCCCTGTCACAACTCCTTGAGCACCTGAGTGTGCTGTGTATCCATAAAATCTCCATCACGAGCACAAGCAACAGGCCAGATTCAGGCCCCAGGAGACATACTGCCATCCTGATGTACAGGCTTGGCCAGACTCGGGTTTGATTTTTGGGGCAAGAACACGTCACAGGTAGCACTGTGAATTTCCATCTTGGGTAGGTCCCTCCTCCCCCGGCCTCTCTCTGATGCTCAGTACCTAGATCCATTAACTCACGAGGGTCTGCAATGGCAGTACTCTAATTCTAGCCTTCCTTTTTCACTTAGTACCTGCAGAACTTCTATAAAGAGGACTTTGCTGTTGTCAATTATTTGGTTATGTGAAGGTGTAGCTTGTACAGCAAAGTCAAGAAAATAAATGTTCCATTCTTCCTCTTTCTTCTCCAGCTTTTAAAAATAATGAGTTGGTTCCCAAGCATTCTCAAAGATAATCAATGTACTTTTAAAAAGAACATTATGAACAAATACATTTCAACATAACGGATGTGTTTTGAGCCATTACAGTTACTGCTTTAGTGATGGGTACATTGTCCTGGTTTTGCCTTAGCTCTTGACAGAGTCTCTGGTAGCATCCTTGATTCCTGTTGTAAAGAGATGTTCTAGGGTCTGCTCAGTCCGCTTAGGAACCCAGCCTTGTTCAAGGAACCTAGCTTCCTTCTGGAGGGAAGTGAAGTTTAAAAACCCTCATTTCTAGCCGGGTGCAGTGGTGCACACCTGTAATCCCAGTAGCACTGGAGTCTGAGGCAGGAGGATTGTGAGTTCAAAGCCAGCCTCAGCAAAAGCAAGGCTCTAAGCAATTCAGTGAGACCTTGTTTCTAAATAAAATACAAAATAGGGCTGGGGATGTGGCTCAGTGGTTGAGTGCCCCTTGAATTCATCCCCAGTACCCCCTCCCCCCAAAGCAACCCTCATTTCAGTACTAGGGATGTTCATAGTTTCTGAAATTTCTCAGGAGACACGGTGAAGACCAGCTTTCTTACAATATGAAAGACCTCAAGGACACATACTGAAACCTCCAAATCAATTCAGGACCACAAACAAGTCTCTTCAGTCTGACAGTGGTAGCTCATTTCTCTCAGATTCCTATTTCACCTGGGGCACATCAACATATGGCAGTTCTGGACCCCTGCCCCAAACCAGGAGAATGGGAACTGGAATATCTAGGGAATTGTTGCAGCCAATACCCTCCCCACCCCCTACCCCCAGTGATGCTTAACAGACATGAAGTTGCAAAAGTAGCACAGAACCTGTTCTAATACGGTCACAAAATGAGTGATATCACCATGTACCAGGGACTCCATCTTGATAAATTCCATGTACTTTTTACAAGACATATTCTTCTGAGGTGGACTGGTTGAGTAAGAACAAAGATTGAGAAATGTCCTTGTCTCCTGTGGACTTGTGGGTGGAGCTTTTTAGGGGGAGGAGGACGTTGATAAGGAATGTTGAGGACATTTTCAGGAACAGTGACCAAAAAGGGAGGAGATGGGACAGTGATAAGATCAAGAAAGGTTTAAACGAAATAAGAAGTGGGAACTTTCACATGTTCAGAGTCTCAGAGAAGAATGAATCTACAAGGCAGGCAGAAAATGGAGTTTCAGAAGGTAGAGAGCAATTGATAAGCTTCACTGGCCGGCAGGCGGCTGGGGTCCTTTTGGAAAGTAGGGAGCTGCTGGGCTAGACAAGAAGCAAGAAGCCTTGAGGTAGTCTGCCAAGGAACCAGGACCAGACCCTGTTTAGCCTCTTCCTACCAGTCGGAGGGACAGTGCCTGATACAAAGACATAAGACACAACAGAAAGACAGTATAAAACTGTCGTTCTCAAAGAGCTGGATCTGGCCCTTCGGGGGGTCCTTTATTTCAAACTTATTTTCATGATTACACTGAAATTTGGGCCCTTTTATTCTCATTCATTCACGAGTGTTGGGTAGAATGTCTCCCAGGCTTCAGGACAGGTGAGGACTCCAAGCCTAGATGCAGAAGTGGCCAGACACAGAAGAGATTTGCCAAAATGTAAAATAATGCCACTCTTTTCAGTTATTCTTTGGAAAATAGTGTCCATTAAAATGTTTGTTGTGTCTCTGTGTAATGGTTTATTATTGTTATTTTATTTGGGTTATTTTGCAGGGATGGGGGGTGGAGTTAACAGGGATTGAACTCAGGGGCACTAAACCACTGAGCCACATCCCCAGCCCTATTTTGTATTTTATTTAGAGACAGGTCCACTGAGTTGTTTAGCACCTTGCTGTTGCTGAGACTGGCTTTGAACTCTCAATCCTCCTGCTTCAGCCTCCTGAGCCGCTGGGATTACAGGCATGCACCTCTGTGCCCCTCTATTATTGTTATTTTAAATGAATTACGACACATTGTTAAAATTTCTGTTTGAATTCCTAGTTTGAATGCCTAGTTTGGATCATGTAAACCAAAGCTCTTTGGGGCCTTTGATGATAATTTTTAAGAATGTCATGAAGTCCTGACACCGAGTTTGCAAAGAGCTCCTATGAAAGGAACTTGGGGCAAGTGGTAAGAGCCAATGAACACCCACAGAACACCCCAATGCCACCAGATGCCAGCTCCTCTGGCCGACAGCTAGGCATTCCTCCCAGGAGTCCGTGGTTAGCCCCTCAGGATGGAGGGGAGACCCCCCCTACCCAATGCCTTCCACAGACATACTCAAGTCCAAAGTGTTCTCCTTTCAAGGAGGGAGGGCTTCTAACTGTAGACTTGTTTCCCCCAATGGAGCAGGAAGGTCTGCTGCTCCCAGAGCCTGAGAGGAGGAGGACAGGAGGAGGAGGAGTCTGGGGTACTGCCAGGAGGGGAGGGGCAACTGCTCTGTCCTGCACTGTCTGTCCATGAGAATTCTTTCTTGGGAAAGGAAAAGGTTGATGAAGGAAAACCAATGCTCCCTCACGAAAGGACTGCCAAACACCCCTCGATGCTCACACCTGGAAGGTAGAACTACTGTTTCTCAAATCCAGCCAGCACGCTAGTCCCCAACAGGGACCAAGAATTCTGACACCTTCCTAAAAGCCGTCAATTGAGGGGACCCAATAGACTGTGGCTTTGGCTTGTCTTCTCCCCTGACAAGGCAGCTCTGCTCATCCACACTGCCTGTGCTACTCCTTCCCCACATCTTCAAGTGCCTGTCCACCTGCAAACCTCAGTCATCCCCTACCATCAAGGGCTCAGGAATGTTCATGCTCCATGGACTCTGGAGTTTCAAGTACAAACTCTAATTACACTTGATTTCTCACAGATTTCCCTTATGGTTTTTAACTATTAGAAAGCAAATGTCTTTAATATTGGGCTTATACATCACGTAACCCTTATATCAATGTCCTTAATAAATTCCATGTGCTTTTCACAAGGTTTATAGTCTTCTGAGAGCTCTCTGGATGTCTTTCTGAACCCTGAAGACTGGACACCAGGGAGCATAAATAATCATTTCTTTAAAATTGTACCTCCTTTACAACCTTGAATTTGAAATGTGAATATATGAATATAAAGGTCTGGAATAACTATGCAGATTTATGGGGAATATCAATTTAGGTTATATCACAGGCTCCAACTTGGCTTTTCTTTGTATAGCTGGAGATTTGTTACAGTTGGGCTATAGTTTGGGGAAAATGTGATTTATAGTTAAAGTCATCTAAAAATCAATACAGTTGAAGATTTCTGACATAAAGGTCCTTTGCAGAGCAAGATGTGATGCTAACATTGGGAAGACAGGAACTAATATGGGAGCTAGAGTAGAGTGGCTGGAAGTTGCCCTGGGGTGGGGGGGGGTGGCTTGGCTTCCACCTCCCCACTATTTGAAGATGGGCTTGCGTGTTTTTTGAAAACAGCCAACATAATTCAGGTGGAGGAGGCAGAAAGACTTTTCTATTCCTTGTTTCGGTAGAAATCAATGGCTTTAGTTAGTGTAACTGTACCCTCTGCGTTCAGTATCTAAAATAAAATAAGCCTCATGGCTTGTATGATAGCATTTCTGCAGATTTGGCGTCTAGGGCTGAACAAGTTGTTAATTAGGTGATCTGCCAGGCCAGGCGGCAGTAGGGATGGGGTTTCAAAGGCAGGGCGTAGACGCGGCAGCCCTGATTTTGGATTCTGATACCAACTTTCTAAATGAATTGAAGGGACCCCTGGGGGAAGGGGAGAGCAGTCCTTAGTATGATCTCCTCTGCATGAGGACGAGCTTGGGACCCAAAGCCCAGACTCAAAGCCAGTGGCGGGCGCCAGCTCCCCAGCGGGTAGTGCAAGGCGCTCAAGGAGAGGCGAGGCTCCCATAGGCAGCAAACGGCCGCCCAGCCCCCCACCCCAAAGGATTTCAAAGCTCTCGCGTCCTCGCCTGCTTCCCCCAGCGCGCTGCTCTCCCAGCCTCCACTCCAGCACACCCCGCTCACGCGCCGCGAGGAGGAAGGAGGAGTGGGTAGGAACCGGGGCGGGGGAGTCCGCGCTCGGGAAATGCCCCGGGAAGCAGCCGGCGCCGGTGGAGATGCACTTGGCGAGGGGGAGCGCAGGCTCCAACTCGCTGGGAGCCTCGCGGCTCTTTCACAATTCCCTGCTCTCTTCCTTGACCCCCAAGTCACCCCAGCAGCCCCCGCCGCAGAAGGGCAAGGGGACACGGCGGGCTCGCTCGCGCGCGGGACCCCGGGGGCATTTCGGGCCCTCGCTGCCCCTTTAAGGGTTCCTGAAACTTTCCCTCTGATATCAGATGAGCCTCGTCACATCCGTTGGCCGCAGCCTCCCGAGCGCGTTCCGAGGAAATTCAGGACTCGAGTTTCCCGGGGAAGAGGCGCGGCCCGAGACCAGCGAGTGGGCAGGACCGGCGCGGGGGCCCTCGCGCCCCGCTTTGACCTTGGGCACGGGGAGGGGCCCCTGCGGGGCAGCCAGCGCCCGCCAGAGGGGGCAGCGGCGAAGAACTTGCTCAAGTTGGAGGCGCGGGTTGGGGCGGCTCCGGCGCCGCCGCCGCCTGTGAGCCTCCTCCCCGGCTCCTCCGCCCCTCCTGCGCCGCCGCCGCCGGCCCGGTGCGCGGCCAGCCCTGCCCCGCCGCCCCTCAGCCTCGCGTGCCCGCCAAGTTGCTGAGCCGCCCGCGCCGCACCGGCAGGCTCTCCTCCCGGCTCCGCCGCGGCTATGGGCGCGCTGGCCAGGGCGCTGCTGCTGCCGCTGCTGGCCCAGTGGCTCCTTCGCGCGGCCCCCGCGCTGGCCCCCGCGCCCTTCACGCTGCCCCTCCAAGTGGCCTCGGCCACCCGCCACCCGGCTTCGCCCGCCCCAGAGCCCGTGACCTCCGCACTGGCCCGCGCCAATGGCCTGGCGCTCGCCTTGGAACCCGCTGGAGTCAATGCCAACTTCTTGGCCATGGTGGACAATCTGCAGGGGGACTCTGGCCGCGGCTACTACCTGGAGATGCTGATTGGGACTCCCCCCCAGAAGGTAGGTCAGTAGGCTCCCGCCCGCCCTACGGACCCGGCGCCCGCGGTCCCTGTAGTCCTCCTGGCTGCAACCGCGGGCTTTTCAGGGGCTCGGGGCAGAGTGGGGAGGTGCCCAGAGATGTCTTCGTGAGCCTAACGTCGCCCCTAAAGCGGCAGCCGGAGGGGAGAGAAGAGTGGGGAGCTCAAAGGGGCTTGGGGGTCGGGGAGCGGGGGTGCCCGCGCGCTGGAGAGGCGAGGGATGGCTGACCCGTGCCCAAGGTGCCGCTGAGTGCTGTGCCCAGTGCTCAGAACTTGTTAGCCCCCGGCCTCCAGTGTGGCTGGCCCCGCGAGAGACCTGTAATGCGCCTCCGGCGCGATTTCCTTCACGCGAAAGACACCTCCTTCCATCAGGACAGGTAGCAGGGGCCTTGGGCGAGATGCTGTGGGTTGGGAGAAATCACCTCGTGTTACTGTCTCCTGCCCCCCACGCTGTCTCACATGCTGCTTAAAGAGGCTCGTGGCCGGCATCCAAGCTGCAGTACCCTTTAAAGGGATTTGTACATGAGCTCAGCTAAAAGCAGCCAGGTTCCGAAGTGGTTCGCTGTCGCCTGCGGAGCGAGCTGGCCCGCTTTTCTCTGTGAGTTGCCTGTTGGCTCCTTGGCTGCCCCTGCGCACGGAGCCGCGTCTCCCCGCGTGTGGCTGGGAGGTGTGAAGTGCAGGCTGAGCGAGGCGGTGACAGAACAAGACTCCAGTCGAACAGCTTTCCCTTTCTCTTCCTTGGATGTTCATTTATTAATATTTTTTGGTAGTAAGGGACATCTTAAGAAAATAAAAAGGAAAAAGCCTACCAGGAGTTGATCTAACCCCTTGTTCCCTTCAGAGCCCCCAGTGCACGGGTGAAGTCGAGTTTTCTCCTCATTGCATACGCTGTAAAGATACTTTATTTTTATTTTTAACATTGTCATTTGGGTTTTAATTCTGCTATGATCGCCCATAAATAGAACATATTCATGACTTTTGTATAATTCTAATTAAATTATTCAAGACTTAAAGAGGAAAGATATGCCATGCTAGTTCTTTTTTTAAAAAAAGGAAATAGGACTGAACAACTTCTGTAGTTGTTTAATTAGTTTAACAAAGAAAAATAACCTTCAAAATGCATTATTTTTTCTCAGCTCCTATTCTAGCTGCTTGTTTGGAATGGGGTGAGCCTTCTCTGTGGCTGCAGGAGTGGGAGGTGGCTGGAGGGCAGGGGGGATGGGACCACAGTCAGCTGAGGAGGCTTAGTGGCCCATGAGGACACCACGTGGCGGTGGGAACCTTGTGAATTGCTTCTCACAAGATCCCACGGGACATGGGATAGACTTTTTTGTGTCCTGTGAAATCTCTTGGAACAAGCCCTGAATGATTCCCTGTTTGAGAAACTTATACCTTTTTTGGGGAAAAATAAAAAAAGCTAGTGTTGGCTTTAGAAGGGACTTCTCACTGAGATGCAGTGAATGCTGGCAGTTTCTAGTAGGCTGAGATAAAGGAAGCTTGGAAGCCCTCCTTCCAGAGCAAAGTGCAAGAGAAAGTCTTGAGAAGAAATAAAAAATACTTCTTGGGCTCTCTCTCTCTCAAAAAAAAAAAATCATAAGTAATAGCTTGCTTTTGTTAATTAATTCGATGACCTTTCTTTCAAAATGATGAAGTTTAATTAATTTAATTAACAGAATGTAACACACTGAGCGCCTGTGCTCATATCTTTACCATAGCCAAAGAGGTGATTGGATCAAGGTTATTTCTCAAACAGTAGCATGTTTTCAGGGCAGGCTGTTTTATAAAGACAGATATAACTTTTAAATTGATGGGGAGTGAAATATCTGGGACCTCTTTCCTGGCTTGATTTAGTGATAAGCTGCTTTATAGCAAAAATCCATGTACATCATTTTCTGCAGGCCTACTGTAAACCCTTAGGTGTTGGTGACATACATCCTGTTCACTCCTGTCCTGCCCTGAGGTGTCCTGACCACCAGCAGGGCATTCGCAGAATGCCACCCCTCATGGGCCACTAAGCCTCCTCAGCTGACTGTGGTCCCATCCTCCCTGCCCTCCAGCCACCTCCCACTCTGTTAATGGTCAAGAGTCATGCATTTATTCTCTGCTGATTCTCTGAAGCCTAAATAAAAATTGCTCAGGTGGAAAGAAAAATAGGATTATAAATTCAAGCAATAAATAACCAGGACTTTCGGGAGTTCATAGACATGGATAGTGTCCGAGGGCCCCGTGCCTGACAGACACTGCGGAATATTCCAAGTGTGTTTTTCCTGGGAATCCTCACAACCTCTTACCCCTGAAGTTCTTATGTGCATCAGGGAGATGAGAAATCTGGAACTTGGAGAGGCTGAGTGACTTGTGAGGGCAACAGGGGAAGAAAGAGAGAGAGAGCTGAAGTAGAACCCAGGGAGCTGGACTCCAGAACCCAGCTTCCCAGCCACCAGCCACATCCTGTTCCTTTCCCCCTCACACCTCCTGACTTCTTGGGTTGTGGTTTTGAACTAGCCTTTCCAGCCAGAGATCCCGCAAGCTCACACCTCAAGGTGTTAGTGACTTAATGTGTAACTGCAGTTGGACTCCCCACCCCCCAGCTGCCCCATCGCCTCCTTCCTTTAGGGCAAAGCTTGAAGAAGAACACAGTGCATAGTTGGATCCAGGAACGAGTGCCCAAGGAACGGAGGGAGGAGTTTGATAGGAGCTGAGCCTTGCAGATCCCTGTCTCCTGTGGGAAAGCCAGCCCTTGGGAGTGTGCTTGTTCCCTGAAGGCTTTAATCAACAACTGGGGGTCCATTGTTCTGCTCGCCACTCTGTGAGGAGTCATAGACATCTGCCCAGAAACGCAAGTGAGAGCCGCACAGCCGTGAGCTGGCCCACGTTGGCATGGAGATGAGAGCCGGGTTGCACACTGATACCATTATGTGACTTCTTTCCAACAGGAGAACCAGCATCTGCTGGAACCATGCAATTTGGTCTTAAAAATAATAATGGTGTTCTAAAGTGATTATAATTATAGCAATTTCCATTATTTAAAAAAATCTTTCATGCTAACACAGTAAATCCAGATGAAGATAGGAAAGGTCTGCAGCCATACACTTTATAGAGGTTTCATGGAAGCATTTGGGGCTTCTGTTGAAAGATTTTCTGTTGTCTCCACTAATATGGATGAACAGCTGGGAAATCTGTTTTCATATTTAAACACTCAAATATAAACAGCCAAGGAATCATTTGGGGGCATGTGTTCGGATATCAGCCTCTTAGTTGATAACTGGGAGACTTTGGATTGAAAGTTTGTTCCAAGCTTATAGAATTGAAGTTCAGATTTTTCCCAGTAATTCATCCAGGGTCCCCGAATCACAAAGCTGACGGAGGGAAAGGAAGGTGGCAAGAGGGCATTTGGTGGAACAAATATCTAAGGTGGTAAACTCTTAAAGACAAAAAGCAAGATACAAATGTGCAAGATACAGAGGTACAGATGGCAAGAAAGTCACAGCTAGTCTACCATTGGCTCCTTCAGGTGAAGAGCAGCAACCTGCAGGCTTCGGCAGAGGAATTTATCAAAGGCTCAATTACAGAGGATGTGAAAGGCAGGCCCAGGAATCAGCTCAGAGCAATGGGGTGGGGATGGCCAGAGCTGGAGAAACTGTCACTGCAGTAGGAAGAGCTGCCTCCCTTCTTGCCCATCGAGTGTGCAGCACCATGATGGACCTTTTGTTGTTGGTTGGTTGGTTGGTGCTGCAGGGGATGGAGCCCCAGGCACCTGCCAGGGCTCTGGACTCTGCCACCAAGCTGTGCTCAGCCCCTCACAGTAAGGGTTTTGCCCAGCTCACCTCAGTGAACTCTCATGACATCCTGCGCGTCCACGCAATTATTTGAATTGCTTTCAGATGGGAAATCTGAGATTCCGAGCCAGGACTGTGTCCTAGGGAGGAAGAGAGCAGGGGTGCTCATCCAAGAACACTGCCTGTTCCAGTCTGCAGCCTGTGCCACTGCGCTGTATGATTTTAGTTACAGTAACCTTTTAAAAGAGTCACCTTCATCTTTCTGGGAATGCCTGGGTGTGGCTATGTCACACCTGTGCCTGTGGGCAAGTGGTGAATCTTCCCAAGCTTCCAGTCCCCACCCAGGCTGCCCTGAGAAACCCCTAGGCTGGAGACTGGACCAGTTGAAGTTTATTCTCTCAGCCAAGGTATCAGCAGGGACATTCTCCTCCCAGGGCCCCAGAGGAGGTCCCTTTCTTTGTTCTCAGTGTCAATGGCTTTCAGGGGTCCTTGGCTCATAGCTGCACTGCTCCAACCTCTGCCTCCATCTTTCTGTGACATTTTCCCCTCTGGTGTCTCTGTGTTCAAATTCCTCTATTTTTTTAGGGACCTAGCCATCAGACTACCTGACTTTATCTTAGGCATCTGAACGGACCCACTTTGCAGAAGAGCTTCCAGGGACAGTTCTTCAGCACATGCAATTGCCCCATGGACAACTACAGATGTCATATACTATGGTGGTCCTATGACCCTGTGCGGTGTGGTGACGTTGTATCTGTCTTAGTTGGTGTAAGCACACTCCGTGATACTTGCGCAGTAAAAAAACCGTCTAATGATGCATGTCTTAGAACGTCTCCTACTGTTAAGTGGCGTGGGATCTGTGTCATGTTGGAGGACACAATTTAGCCCACAAGTTCATTATAGTTTATCTTTCTGTAGTAGGTTTTATTCTCTCACACTTTTTAATTGCCAGTAACTTCACTCAGTCTTTCAAGTGTAATGTTCATTAGCAGCAGTGAGCAAATGGTGGTTTTGGTGTGGGACTGACGTGGAGGTGCCCTGGGGGATGGGAGAGGAGGAGAGAGGGTTTTGCGGCTTTTCTTTGTTTCTGTATTGGTTTCCCCATTAGAGAGTAATCGCTTAGAATTTTAATATGTCTCTTATCATGTTGCCACCTCATTCTAGAACTGCTGAAATTAGTGCATAATGGCAGAAATATATCCAACTT